GGCCACCAATGTCACAAAAACAATTTTTATATTAACTGTCTAATCAGAAACTAATTTGCTCTCTAAACTTTCACATAAAGCACAACAAAAATAATTAATTAAAGGCATAGTTTACACAAATCACCTCTGCTTTTAAGGCCGTCCCATCTCAAAAATCACCCAGGTGGTTTTTTAAAATGTAGTTTTCCAGACCCCAGCCCAGACTTGCTGAGTCAGAATCTCTCATTGTGGAGCCCAGGAAGCTTATTCTTTTTTTATTATTTTATTTTTATTGAGGTAAAATTCACTTAAAATAAAATTGACTTTTTAACCATTTTAAAGTGTACAATCCAATAGCATTTAGTATATTAACAATATTGTGCAACCTTCACCACAGTCTAGTTCTAGAATATTTTCATTAACCCAGAAGGAAACCCTGTGTCCATGAAGCAGCCACACCCCATTTCTCCCTTCGCTCAGCCCCTGGCAGCCGCTAATCTACTTTCTGTTTTTTCTATAGATTTACCTATTTGGAATTTTTCATGGAGCCCTGGTGGCTCAATGGTTAAGAGCTTGGCTGCTAACCAAAAGGTCCACAGCTCAAATCCACCAGCTGCTCCTTGGGAACCCTGTGGGGCAGATCTACGCTGTCCTGTAGGGTCGCTATGAGTTGGAATCAACTCAATGGCAGTGGGCTTTGGTTTAGTTTGGATGTTTCATATAAATGGAATCATCCAATATTTGTCCTCTTGTGTCTGGCTTATTTCACTCAGCATAATGTTTTCAAAGTTCATCCCTGTGGTAGCATGTATCCGAACTCTGTTCCTTTTTATGACTGAGTATTATTCCATTGTATGGATATACCACATTTTGTTTATTCATTCATCTGTTGATGGGCATTTGGGTTGTTTCCACCTTTTGGCCGTTGTGAATAGAGCTGCAATGAACGTTGGTGTACATGTGTCAGCTTGAGTCATTGCTTTCAGTTCTTTTGGGTATATACCTCAGATTGGGATTGCTGGGTCATGTGGTAGTTCTATGTTTATCTTTTTGAGGTACCGCCAAACTTTTCTACAGCGGCTGCACCATTTTACATTCCCGCCTGCAATGCACGAGGATTCCAATTGTTCCACATCTTCACCAACACCTGTTATTTTCCATGGTTTTTGTGTTTTAATGGCCAGTCTAGTAGGTATGAAGGGAGGCTTCATTCTTAACATCTTACCGAAGTCCTGGGTGGTCCTTGTGGACACTAAAGTTGGAGAACCACTGCATGCCCTACAGTTAGTTAAGTGAAAGTCTGCTCTTCACAGGGAATTGGGTGGAGCAATACTTCTGTTGCACTGGCAAAACCTATCAGGGAATTGAAGCTGCAATTTCATGGACTGTTTTAATAGTGATTGGATTATTTTTCACACACCCTCCTTGTAATGGATTAAATTGTGTCGTTCCCCCCCCCCCCGCAAAAAAAAATATGTGTTGTAAATCCTAACCCCTATACCTGTGGCTATAATCCTATTTGGGAATGGATTTTCATAGTCATGTTAATGAAGCAATATAAAGCATATTAAGCAAGCCAGTAGAGATGGAGGGAAATAGATGCCAAGCCACAGGGAGATCACTAAGGAACCGAAGGAGCAGAAGTTGAAGAGAGACAAGGAACTTCCCCCAGAGCCAACAGCGAGAGAAAGCCTTCCCCTAGAGCCAGTGGCCTGAATTCAGACTTCTAGCCTCCTAAACTGTGAGAGAATAAATTTCTATTTGTTAAAGCCACTCACTTGTAATATTTCTATTATAGCAGTGCTAGATAACTAAGACACTCACCCTGTCCCCCTAGTAAGGGTAACTGAGTTGGTAGGGACAGCTCTCTCTGGGCTTGCCAGGCCACGTGACCCACCTTCACAAGTGAGCTCCCCCCTCACCAGTGCCTCTAGGATGTGTGGCTGGCTTGGAGGGCCTGTTCCAGCACAAACTGGCTTTGAACTTGCCTGTTTTAATAAAATTTAATGTGAAATTTCACATTCTTCTGTGTATTGAATATACCATGGACTGCCAGAAGAACGAACAGATCTGTCTTGGAAGAAGTACAGTCCGAATGTTCCTTAGAAGCAAAGATGGCGAGACATTGTCTCACATACTTTGGACATGTTAGAGGAGGGACCAGTCCTTGGAAAAGGACATCATGCTTGGTAAGGTAGAGGATCAGCGAAAAAGAGGAAGACCCTCAACGAGATGGACTGACACAGTGGCTGCAACAGTGGGCTCAAGCATGACAGCGATTGTGAGGATGGCGCAGGACCGGGCAGTGGTTTGTTCTGTTGTACGTGGGGTCGCTGTGAGTCAGAACTGACTGCACACCGCCGAACAACAACAACTATGCGGTATAGCTGGGCCTCTTTAAAATTAACAATTAGGAGGGTTTACACCAAATGTTTAAGTGTATTTCAGGAACACATCAGGTTAATCCTAGGGCTCTGAGGATAAAGGTGATAAAGGAGATTCAGAGGACAAGAGATGTGGTGCTGAGGGGCTGCATGGGGACACTTAATGAAAGCACTAGTCTTCCTCTTAATAGGATTTTGTTTCCTTTTTCCAGAATTTCCTAAACATTAATCTCTAGGGTGGAAAACAACATTTAAGGGATACATTGTATGCACAAGAAAAGGGAGCAAGGTCCTGCTGTAACTTCCTGAGCCCCACTTCAAGATTGCTCTAGGACATAAGCCCAGCACCCAGGGCCTTTTCTCTAAGTCAGTGGTTCTCAACGTTGGTCTAACATAGCAATCACCTGGTGAGATTTTAAACATTCTTGTTTAATAGGTTTGGGGTGGAGCCCAGGCACCCATGTTTTTTAAAGCTCCAAAGGTGATTCCAGTGTACAATGAATATTAAGCGCTGTGCTGCGCTAGACCGTGCGTGACGGTGGAAAAACAGACATGGCCATTGTAGGGCTTTCAGTCTGAATGGGGAGACCAACTCATTAATCACATAATTAATTATAACTATGATAAGTGCTGCTGAACACTGAACTGTCTAGAGGGTGCGAGAAATCTCGTTGAAGCTATAGCCTGAAAGATGATGCCTTCATTTCCGAACAGAATACCACAAAGTGTGTGACTTGAAAGAACAGAAGTTTGTTAACTCACAGTTATGGAGGCTGGAAGTTCAAGTCAGGATGTCGGCTGTGTCTGTTGCTTCTGGGGGCTTTGAGAGAGGAGCTGTTCCACGCATCTCTCCTAAGGTTCTGGGGGCTTCTGCAGGCGATCCTTGGCATTCCTTTCCTGCTTATAGATGCACCTGCCTCTGTCATCACGTGGCATCTGTCTTTCCCCTCCCTGCCCCTAACTCCGTTTCTATGTCACCACTCAGAAGGAATTAGGATTTGAACCCACACTACTCCGGTATGACCTCATTTAACTTAACCGATAACAAAAGAAAACCCCTATTTCTAAACAAAGTTACACTCACAGGTACAGGGGTTAGGAATTCAACATATCTTTTGGGCAGGGGGGAACACAATTCAATCCACAACAGCTGAGTAAATGTTAATGAGGGGTGAGCTGGTAGAACAGCATCCCAGGCAGAGGGAACAGCATGTGCAAAGGCCCTGGCATGGGAAGGAGCTTGGAGTGTTTGAGGATCTGAAAGACAAGCCGATTGAAGCTGTGATCAAGGCAATGGGAGGCCTGAGACGCGGCTGGAGAGTGGTCGGTGGCCTGGCATCCATTGTTGGCCCACAATGAGTCCATCTAACATGCTCCTGATGTTTAAGCTCTCTGATATTGATCTAAAAGGTTCACCTTCAGTTCATCTGTGTTCTGTAATGAGCAGCTGCATGAAGACCTGATTAAGTGGGCCCCTGTGTCTCACATGGTCTGTACAGGACCCCTCCTCCAGCCCACGGAAGTTATTTTTCCCTTTACCTCCTAGGGGGTGTGGGTGGGATGTCAAAAGAAGAGGAGAGACATTTGGAGAGAGAATGGAGACCGCCCTACATCTGAAACGCTTCTGGGCCTCCCTGGCTGTTGGGTGTTATGTCTCAGTTGAAAGTTAGGTCTCCTTGCAGGTCACCATTGTCTCTACATAGAACTAATTTGACAGAATGGTTGGCCTCCAGGTGACTGTAGTCTGTGATTCTCACTGAACTGATAACTCTCTGCACTCTTTCTTAGATGCTCTGTAGGTCCTGTTGCAACGTTAATTCCTCCTCCTTCTCTTCCCCATTTTCCTTCCCCTCCCCCTCCTTCTTTTCCTTCTTTTTAAAATCTATGCCAATTTCTAATTGATGTGGGTGGCATGGAGGGAGTTCTTTACACTTCATTGGATCCTGCTGCTTCCCATTTCATAAGCCCATAGTTTATATCCTGGGTTCCCTTCCTGCCCCTGGCTGGATTCCTCTCCCCCTGCCTGGTGGGATGTGAGCTGTTCTCTTCATTTCAGCCACCTTGTGACTGAGAAGAGCCCTTCGTCTTGAGGCTTTGTAGAGACCCATATAAAGTGCTTGTTTCTGTATATTAGATTTTCTTCCTTTCCAAGACTTAACTCTGCATTCCCCCTTAACTCTAATAACAGTGTGGTATATAAGGCAGCATTGGGCAGAAGGGAAACTGAGGCCCAGAGAGCCGCACAGGATAGTGGAATGAGCTTCCAGACGTACAGATTCTGGCTCTGTCTGGTGGTTTGCTGGCTGTGGGTCCTTGGAAAATCACACAACCTTCCAGGAAAGTTTCTTCACTGGTGATGTGAGAAGGACATAAGTAAGATTTCCTTTCCTGTGAGGCAGTGTGAGGGAGCCCTGGTAGCACAGTGGTTAAGCACTCTGCTGCTAACCGAAAGGTCGGGGTTTCGAACTCACCAGGCTCTCCGCAGGAGAAAGATGTGGTGTCTGCTTCCATAAAGGTTTACAGCCTTACAAATCCTATGGGGCAGTTCTGCTCTGTCCTGTAGGGTAGCTGAGTCTGAATCGACTCCATGACGATGCATTTTGGTTTTTTTCAGTTTTGTCAAGGAGTTGGAGCCCTGGTGGCACAGTGATTAAAAGCTCGGTTGCTAACCAAGAGCTCAACAGCTCGAATCCCCTGGCCACTTCTTGGAAACCCTATAGGGCAATTCTGCTCTGTCCTGTAGGGTCGCTATGAGTCGGAATCAACTCTACGGCAGGGGTTTGGTTTGGTTTTTGAGGCGGTGTGGTTATGGGGTAAAGAGGAAACTTGAAGCTTTGGTGCTTCAAGTCCTGACCCTGCCACTCACAGTTGTGCGGCTTTGGGCAAGTCACTGGACCTCAGTTTCTTCACTTATAAAATGGTGATACCGGCACACAGGATTGTTGTAGATATGAGAGGTGCTGTCCAGGTGATCCTAGCACCATGTGGGGCTTGTATTAGGTTTCCAGATGTGGCACCTGTTCTACTTCCTCTGCCATTTGAGATTTGGCACTTTTCCCAGGAGGGCCCCAGTCATTGGCAGTGGAGTTGGAACTGGAACCCAGGTTTGCTGGCTTCTGGCCCTGAGCTCCTGGGTATCTGGAGTGTCCTGGGGAGGTTATTAAGCCTTGGGCAGCGGGGTGTGGCATGACTCAGTGAGGGTTGGTTCTGGTGAGGAGTGGGACTTGCTACTGGAATCTCCTAGCACACTGGCTGGGGTCCCATAAGGATACAGACCAGGAAACGGTGAGTCAGCAGGACCCTGATGGCTGACCCCTGGGCCTTTGCAAAGCAGCCCTGCAGCCCCAGTACCAGCTGGGAGGCAGTTTCATGGATTCCAATTGAGGGAGGGGCATGATGGTCCCCATTCACTGGTATGTAGTGATAGTAACAGCCGCCATTTATCCAGGGCCCTTTGGGAGGCAGGCAGTGTGCTCCGTGTAGGATCTATGTTCTTACTGATCTCCATGACACCCCTGGCCAAGAGGACACGGCTAACCCCGACCAGTGAGGTGGTGGGGCCAAATTTGATCCCAGGTCTGCTTGGCTCCAAAGCTCATGTTCTCCAAAGCGTGAAATTGTATGGCCTTCCTTAAAGTAACCTGCATCATCAGGGCTCTCCAACAGTAATTTTAATAATACAATGCTTGTCCATGTCCCAAAACCCACTCTCACTGTCAGCCTTATGTCAGAGTTTACCGACTAATTTTACCACCGGCCAAACTGAATTTAACCAAGTTACCATTGTTGCAGAGAAAAGTAGGTAAGAGTTCTAAAACGTGTTATAAATTGGGAAGGAGGGCAAAATGGCCCCAATTTGGATGTCTTCCACCACTTAGAAAGAGGGAGAATTTAGCAGATATGCACATTATGTTCCTGTGTTGTCCTAGGTAACTTGTTAGACTTTTTTTTTTTTTTAACTGCACGTCTTTAATGCCTGCCTTGATTACCACAGTGATTGGAGCCCAGTCTTAGGTCAAGAACCTATTTGGTGCACATTAGGAGCCTCCTGAGATTTCTCATCCAATTGATTACTCTTGCCACACACTCCTTCCTGCCACAGGACCTTTGCACAGCTGTTCATTGTGCCTGCAGCACCCTTTCTTCCTATTCTTTGTTTTCTGCCCTCCCTACTTTGCTTCAGTAATTTATTCTTGGTGCTCAGATTAAAGATGAATTCCTTAGGGACACCACTACTGACTTCTTTCCATACTGGTCTGCCCCCTGTCACATGCCATTATAGCAGTAGCCATACTTCTTTAGAGCAAATCATTACAGTTAGTCCTAATTTTTTAACTTTGGTTTCCCCCACTAGACTATAAACTCCATGAGGGCAGGGACCACATTGGTCTCACTCAGCTGCTGAATGTCTAGTGCCTTGCACTTGCCTGGTACGTGCTGAGCACCCAGCCAGCATTGGATGGGTGAATGGATTGTTGAATAAATGGATAGATGGAGTTCGTTAACTTCATTTCCTTTCCCTTAACTCCAACCAATAGTCTCTTCTTAACAGGGAAGAGAAATTGTAATTACCTGTTACTGTATCTCTCTTCAACCTCTTTAAAGAAGAGCCCATCTTTAGAATCCTAGAGGTTAGCCCATTGTCTGACATATAGGATGATCAATAAACGTTGAATATGTGGTTGTCTAGTGGTGGTTCAGTGGTAGAATTCTCACCTCCCATGCTGGAGACCTAGGTTGGATTTCCAATTGGTATATCTCAAGCACAGCCACCACTCATCTGTCAGTGGAGGCTTGCATGTTACTATGATGCTGAACAAGTTTCAGCAGTGCTTCCAGACTAAGATGGACGAGGAGGAAGGGCCTGGTGATATACTTATGAAAATCAGCCAATGAAAATTGTATGGATTACAGTGGTCCAATCTCATGGGGTCACCATGAGTCGGGAGCCTTCTTTATGGCGGCTAACGACAACAGTGTGGTTGTCTAAGTATAGCTCTTGCCCATGAGACAAGCAGTTCCAAGGACTCCTGCTGCTGCGGGGGAGCTTGGAGAGTTATTTTTATATGTTAAGTGTAAGGATGGCGTATTTATTCATGGAAACGGGATGAAGTGCATTCCTACTTCTGATTCCATGCCATGGTTTAGCTCCTTGGTAAGGTCTGCTATTCAGGTTGCCAGTTACTATATTGACTTATTTGTACATAAACAGTTATTCCCTATAACCTTCTCTTCGCCAGCATTCAGAGATAATGATATACAATCTTGGTAACATTGCAGACATCGCTTCAAAAACATTCTGTTGCTATAGGGATGTTTATGATGTGCTTATCGCTAGAATTTCATGAACAACAAACTCCCAAATTGCAGATGATTTAGCGTTTGAAGGTGGGAATGAATCTGTGTGTGTTTGCATTTAGGAGGCGGAAGAAAACCCAAGCCTTTGATAAAGGAAGTTTTTCTTCTGCAGAATTATCTTCTAAGGTTTAAAATAAGGACTGCTTAAAAGCTGAGAGTTTAGAGGAATGAGCGCTTTCTCTTAAACATTCAAATAGGTAAAAATGACTTATAATCTCTCCCTGAAGTATTAAGGCAGTAGGCATTTAAAGGCTTTTTTGGAGCTAGCTGTCACAGACAAAGGATTTCTCAATTTTTAAAAAAAAATCATTTTTAAAAGCATTGAATAGTAGGAATGAACACCAGCAGCCCTCCTGACATTTTGAAAATGATTTATTTTCTAGAATGTCCCAGTTCATTCTGGTAGATGACTCTTTGTTCTTCTCATTCAGGGAGGCCTCCTAGGCCAGGGTTGCCATATTTAGGGTTGGGAAGTTCAAGGCGGAACCAGACAGGGCTCCCGGCACAGCTTTAGACCAGGTTTGGTGAGCCTCATTCTGTTACCTGAGCCTGGCAAGTTGGTGCCACCACCTCTCTCCAGGTAACCCAAAGCCACACCTTCCAAAACAAAGTCCCTGCCATCATTCTTCCTCCTGGAGAACATTTTGTAGTCCAGAGAGTAAATTGGGAAACATTTTCACTTTTAGCCACCTTCTCTAGACAAAGAGATTGATTAGCCAGGCATCTTAAGAATATTGCGCTCTGTACAAACCTCTCTATACAGCAGTACAAGCCCTGGTGGCCAGGGATAGATTACTCAATAAACAAGACAAACACGTGCTTAGGACACAATAAAACAGGAACACCCTTGTCCAGAGCAAAGACCTAGAGATGCCAAGCAGATAGAATGTAAGGAAAAGCAAGCGCCACAGTGGAAGGGAGCTGGCGGGGCACAAAATGAAATTAACACCACTTTGGAAATGTTGTATACGACGACAATTATATGTTCCTTTTCATGTCGGACTGATGGAGTATAACCTCACATGTAGTACTCTCCTATCAACCACAAGAGAATGTGCCAGCGGCTTTATAATCATGTGACTTGTGGTGTATCTGGTCCTCCACAAAACGAACCAAAACGCAACTTCAGATTGAGCATACCCTTGTATTTGTATCATGCTCTTTGCAGTTGCTCTAGCCCCCACTGAGTATCAGCACTAGGCCAACGAACTATGGAGGTGTAGCATCCAAGGACGGAAATTGAATGCGCGAGTTTTTAAGTATTATTTCAAGATGAGAAGCCCTCATGGAGATCTGCCAAAGGCCCACCAACAAACATCATACAACAAACGAATGAAATTATTTCCGACTGCCTTGTAAGTACTATTTCTTTTGACTGTCTCAGACCTAAAGAACAAAATTACATGTTCCAAATCAATTTTTTTTTACTTACTAATTTTCAAATATAAATTTTCATGTTAACACCCAAATTCGAATGTAAGTTTTATTTTATAAATTTTACTTGTTTTAAAAAATTTTAAGGAGCCCTGGTGGCACAGTGGTTAAAGCGATTGACTGCTAACTGAAAAGTCAGCAGTTCAAAGCCACCAGTGGCCCTGCGGGAGAAAGATGTGGCAGTCTGCTTCGATAGAGATTTACAGCCTTGTAACGAGTCGGAATGAGTCAGAATCAGCCTGACGGCAATGAGTTTGGTTTTGGGTTATAAATTTTATTTACTTTCAATTATTCAAATTTATTTGTGACAGTAAAACCAAATTTAAAAAGTGACAGAATTCAGTATCCAGGTAAAATGAAATGGCAAGAACTGAGTGAAGCACAAAAACAAAAGCTTGAAGGAAATAAAAAGATTTGTGAATCCCCAAAGACAATTCCAAAATTAACTTCCTTTTTAAAATGTAATCAGAAGAGAGTTCTTCCGTTGAACGCTCAAATTTAATGGGTGCAAATCGTTTTACCAGTACAGCTAGTGCTGAAATTACTAATAGCAATACAAATGTAACAGGATTTGTTCCAAATTCTGCATTCATTCCTTGCTGTAGTAAAAAAGTTAATAATGATGTAGAAAGTGAAACTATTTTAGAATCTGAAATTGTCGCACCTGCAGACCCTGTAAATAACAGAAATGCAGATCCTGCTTTGTGGAATAATTTTTCTTCTAACGATGCAAATTACTGGATTAAAAGACGGCTAAGTGATTGTCAGCATCACAGTGGACCATTTGAAAATTTGTGTTTAAAATTTCTGGGTGGTAGGGGCAAGAACAAGAAGGCAGGAGGGGACAGGAAAGCTGGAAATGGGGAACCTGAGGTCAAGAAGGGGAGAGTGTTGACATGTGAGATTGGCAACAAATGTCAGAAAACAATATGTATATTAATTGTTTAATGAGAAGCCAGTTTGCTCTGTAAACCTTCATCTAAAGTACCATAAATATATATATATATATTTTTTTTAATACTAGATGGTAAACAAACAAGGTTCTATAGCCAGCTAATGGTGAAAATTATAAGAGAGAGTGGCTACTGTATTCTCCATCGGTTGGCTCTGTGTATTGTTTTGTTTGCAGACTCTTCAGTCCTAAACCATTTAATTCTCGATTTGCTATGGATGGATTTAACACTTGGCACAACTCGAATATGATTGATAAACATGAAGACAGTTCGATTCACATATGTTGTCATATTTAAACTGAAGACATGGTTTTGGCTTAACTCATGAACTGGAAACACTAATGAATGTCAGTATTGGAAAGTTGCTTTGCAACACGTTGTGGCTGTCATTATAACAATCGCTGAACATGGACTGTCTTTTCGAGGAAGAACTGAAGTGTTTGTGTTCCCGCAAAATGGAAATTTTGGGAGTTTACTTGAGCTTGTTGCTCAGTTTGATCCATTTTTAGCAGGTCACATCTCAAAATATGGTAACCGGAAAGAGCAACCTATCATATATGTCTAAAACAACATGTGAAGAAATAATAAACTTAATAAGTGATCAAGTTCAATCAGCTATTTTCAGCGACATAAGTGTAGTTCAGTATTTCAGCTTGTGGATTCCACTCCTGATCTTCCTCATAAGATCAGCTAAGTATCACTTTAAGATACGTATCTCTAACAGAAGGAAAACCTGTTGAGCGATTTATCACATTTGCTTGCTTAAAAAGTCATACTGGTAGGCATAGATTAAATTGTGTCCCCCAAAAATGTGTGTCAACTTGGCTAGGGCATGATTCCCAGTATTGTGTGATTGTCCACCATTTTGTCATCTGATATGATTTTCCTATGTGTTGTAAGTCCTACCTCTATGATGTTAATGAGGCAGGATTCAAGGCAGCTATGTTAATGAGGCAGGACTCAGTCTACAGGATTAGGTTGTATCTTGAGTCAGTCTCTTTTGAGATATGAAAGAGAGAAGCAAGCAGAGAGACAGGGGGACCTCCTACCACCAAGAATGATGAACCAGGAGGGGAGCGTGCCCTTTGGACCCAGTATCCCTGTGCTGAGAAGCTCCTAGACACAGGACAAGAACCTTCCCCTAGAGCCAACAGAGAGTAAGTCTTCCCCTGGAGCTGGCACCCTGAATTTAGACTTCTAGTCTCCTAGACTGTGAAAGAATAAATTTCTGTTTGTTAAAACCATCCGCTTGTGGCAGCAATCTGTTATGGCAACGCTAGATAACTAACACACTGGTGAAGAAATTGCAGGTCAAGAATTTCACTATTTATGTGAAGTTTGCAAATTTGGTTTTCTAAGTGCAGAGGCCAGTCCTATGACAATGCTGCCAGTATGTCAGGGTATTATAAAAGTGTGCAACGGAAAATTTTAGAACATAATATGCCATTTTCATACCACATGCTGCGCATTCACTTATAATCTTGTAGGAGGTAGGTTGTTGTCCAGAAGTAGTTAAATTTTTTTCTACTGTTCAGTTACTCTGTACTTCTGCTCACTGATGGGCAGTTCTTAAAACATATTTAGGCAATGATCGACTATTAAAATGTCTTTCTAATACACATTGGAAAGTGCATGCTGTAGCAATAAGTGCAATTCTGGAATCGTACACTCAGATTGTAGATGCCTTAGAAAATATTACTGAAGACAAGACACAAAAAGGAAATACCAAATGAGAAGCTGTAAACATCACCAACAAAATGCAAACACTTGAGTATGTATTTATGTTTGTTTTGTGGAACAATATATTGCAGCATTTTCATCAGACAAGTTCTCCAAGATTCAGAAGGAAATTTAAAGACATGCACAAATCTCTAGCAGTCATTAACAGGGTATTTACATAATGTAAGAGAAGATTTTGAAAACACAACAAAACAAATACTGCCAGTTACTGATTATCAAGCAGTTCACTGTCACAGAAGTATTAGAAACAAATAAATGACAGAAGTGCTCCAGAAGTATCACTGGGTGCCAGAGATCAATTTCGCATAACCACATACTATACCGTCATTGACACACTTGAATCTTGCATGAACAGAAAAGGTGAAAGTGTATGAATTTGTTTCAAATAGATTTCCTTCTTAAAACAGTGTGGGTATACCTGATGAAGAATGCACGAAGACATCCAAGAAATTAGTTCAGGCTTATCCCGATGACTTAAATACAAACTTTACAGAGAAGCACAATTTCATTCTTACATAAGAACAAAGTTTACAGATTCAGGAAAGACAAATTTTACTCATGTAGTCATGTATGATTCCATAATAGAAGATAAAATACAACTCTTATTTCCCAATGTTGAAATTGCTTTACACATATTCGTAACTTTAGCGATAACAAAATGCACAACAGAGGCTCATTTTCTTTCCTAAAGAGACTCAGAAACCCTCGGCGTACAACAGTGGTTCGAGAAAGACTCGATTCATCATTCTTATTATGTATGGAAGTAGATATTGTTCAGCAGCTTAATTGTGACAAAATCGTTGAAGAATTTGTAAGGCAAAGAAAAGAAATGTTTTTAATTATAACATATTAGAGGTGAAAGATCTATCTAAAAATAAAATATAGTAATTTGTTGTAATATTTGTTTTTTGATCATTAAATTTTCTTTTATGACATCTTTTCATTGGTTCATTTATAGTTATAGCATTTATTACAAAACAAGCATCAAAACTGAAGTAAGAGCCGTTTAAAGCAAAATTGGTGAAAGTCAATTTTTCATTGTGGGAGATCAACAGAACTTTACATTGATTGTTGAAACAACTAAGTTCACTGACTCATTTTCTTCGTTGTAGAATATGTGGAATATTCTTTTTGTAGAAGATGTGGTGTATAGTAAAAACCTTACTACCCCGCATCCACTAAAAATTTTATAATCCAGTTCATCTTATTCTGCTAGAATGTCATACACCGCTTTCATGTTCAATTGCTAATATTATAGTTACATTTGAAAAGAAGTTACATCATGGATAGCTGAGACCTGTGTGTGTGTGTGTGTGTGTGTGTGTGTGTGTGTGTGTGTATAACTCACATGTTCTGTTCAAATGCATGAGTATGCAGAGCAGGGGGCATCACAGATTGTCAGTGTTTAGGGCGCTCACATGCCTTAATCCGGCCCTGCTGGTGGCGCAATGGTTAGGTACTTGCCTCTTAACTGAAAGTTTGGCGATTCAAACCCACCCAATAGCTTTGCGGGAGAAAAGACCTGGCGATCTACTCCCATAAAGATTGCAGCCTAGCAAGCCCTATGGGGCAGTTCTAGTCTGTCCTATAGGATCGCTGAGTCAGAATCGACTAGACAGCACACAACAACAACTCAAAATGCAGTCTGTGGAACGATGCTGGTCTGCAAACTGTACTGGTCCACAAGAGAAGTACAGAAATTAATAGTCAGTACTTAGAAACTTTCGTACAGATATGACAGAGCTTTCTGTTGTATCAAATAATGAAGTATAGGCTTGTATTTTGTATGAATCTTTTTCATTTCATTTTTCTAGCAATTCATTTTTATTTTCCAAAGTGTTCATCTGTAATGGATTGGAAGTTAAAAAAATAAAAAACTCGTTCTTCATCACAAATAATCTGAGACGCAGTGTGCACTTGTAAATTGCCTTAGCTCCCTGTGGGATAGGTAGGCTGTTGAATGAATTTTGGGAAACCATAGCACTGACTGAATTATACTGTAATGAAACACATGTATGTCTCTTTCTCCTGCTAGACTGTCTTTAGAGCAGGGACTGTGTATAATTGATCCTCGTAGCCTCACTCCTCAGTGCCATGCCTGGCACGTTGTCGGGTTTGGGAAACATTTATTGAACGCGTGCCTGCCTGCTTCCCAGTTACATGATGGGGCGAGGCCAGCCTAAGCATCTCCCTGGGCTTCTGGGTAGTGTCCTATGCAGGCTGATGATGGAGAGCCAGGAGCAGGCAATAAAGAAGTAACCTTTTCCTTCTCCCTCCCCACAGAACCAGGTCTCGTCTTCCCACCTGTCCAGCAGCATGAGAGCAGCATGACTGGCCGGCTGCAGGAGAAGCCCCAAGAGCCAGGCCCCCAACTCAGCCATCTGCTGCGGAGGTCAAGGTGAGCTTGCTTTCCTTCTCCTGGAAGGTTTAGAAATTTTCATTTTAACTAGTTCTGTATGCTTTGGTAATCCCTCGTCATGTGCTAAAAGAATGGGTTTGACTGGGACAAAGGTAGATTTAGAAAGTACATGTCAGCCCAGTGGGACAAAGTATGCTCATTTGGATTAATGGAGAGACTGATGGTGGAGTGGAAAGGACACTGACTTGAGTGTCTGGAGCCTGGAGTTCTCGTTATTCCTCCTCAATCTCCTGAATCTGGGATCTTGGGGAAGTCTTTTGGGGAATTGGGTTCTAAAATCAAGTAGTGTTAGTCTTCCCACGTTGTTCTTCTTCGTCAGTAGTGCTTTACTTATCTGGAGCGTCTTCCCTTTCTATATGAAGTTGGTGATTTGTTTCTCCCTTTCATTAAAAAATGGTGTTGACGCAAAATGTAACAATTCTTGTTGGTTACCAGGGATGGGAGGGGTGGGGGGGGAATATTAAATAGGCAATAGACAAGTGGTATCTTGGGTGA